AAAGGCTGCCGTAGCCGTCTCCCCCCATAGGAATCCGTCTTTCTTCAATTGCTCTGTGAGCGACCATGCTATGATGTTGTATCCCTCCGCAAATCTCCTGTAGTATCCTGTCAGTCCTAGGAATCCCCTCAGCTCCTTCATATTCCTCAGCACTGGCCACCTCAACATAGCCTCAATTTTTGACCGATCTACTGCCGCCCCTTCTTTGGAAACAATATGACCCAAGTACTCTACACTGGCTTGTGCAAAACAACACTTCTTCAAGTTGACCCTCAGCTGGTTGTCCTGCAACACTTCTAACATCCTCCTCAGATGCTCCTAGTGCTCCCCTTCTATCTTGCTCTAAACTAGGATGTCGCCAAAGAATACTAGGACAAATCACTGAGATAAGTTTTGAAAACCTTATTCATGAGTGACTGGAGCATTGATGAGGCCAAAAGGCATCACCAGGAACTCATCGTCAGGAACTCATAATGCCCCTCATGATTTTTGAAAGCAGTCTTGAGCACATTTCTTCTTCATTCTGACCTGATGGTATCCTGGCTTTAGATCTATCTTGCTGAAAATCACTGCCCCATTCAACTCATCTAACAACTCATTAATCACTGGTTTGGGAAACTTATCCGACACTGTTTCCTTGTTGATCGCTCTGTAGTACACAAAATATCCAACTGCCATCCTTTTTCTTCACCAGTAAAACTGGACTAGAGAAAGGACTATTACTGGGTCTGATGATTCCTGCCTCCAAAATCTCTCTATTCCACTTCTCAATTTCATCATTCTGAAATTGAGGATAGCGATAGGGCTAAACAATGATGGGTGACACACCATCCCTTAAAGTGATAGCGTGTTCCTGCTCCTTGGGTGGTGGCAATCTTTGAGGTGGCTAAAAAACCTCATGGAATTGTTGGATCAACGTCTGTACTGAAACACAACCCCTTTGCCCTCTTATCATGCATCTTTTTCTTTGTCAGCCTCTTGAAGTTTCCCCCACTCCCTCTTCATGTCTTCTCCCTAGTGGTTTCCCGAATTCCTCCTCTTGCAGGACCCTTAGGTGTTAAATGAGTAGTCATCATCCTGTAAGTACCTCCTAAGTTGCTACTCCTGGCTCCCCTCTCTAGATTCCTCTAATTTTCAACTAGCTGTGCTAACTTCATGGCCTCCCCCAAGTCACGAGGCATTAGAACTTTCATTGTCGCTCTGATCTCTGCCTTTAGCCCCTTCATGAAGTTCTCCTCCAATACAGTATCTGATAACCGCTCCACCCTACTGGCCAGGTGCTCAAACCGCTCACGGTAGTCTGCTACTGATCCCTCCTGCACCAGAGCAAAGAATTGCTCATAGAAATCCCATCCCCGATCGGATTGGAAATGTTTTTTATGCAGTCCTTGAATTCTCCCCAACTCCTGATGGGTCTGATCTGGTCTCTCCATTGGTACCATGACACCGCCTTCCCTTCCAAATATAAGCTTGCTGCTGTCAGCTTCTCCTCCTCTGTTAGCCCATTGATGGCGAAGTTTCTCTCCATCTTATAAATCCACCCATACGCATCTTCCCCTTTGAATATGGACATCTTTAACTTCTTCATCTTCTGATCTCCCCCATTTCCCCTTATTCTTCCATATCTTCCCCTCTCCCAAGTGCTTGGCCCTTCCCGCATCTCCCGGTCTTCCCTTGCCATGTCATAACCCAAACCCCCTTCAAAATCCCCTCTCCTTCCTTCAAATTTAGCACCTCGGCGGCCATAATATCCCTCCTGACATTCCCAATCAGCACCCATTTGCTCTGCCTCCCCATACCCATACCTTGTTTATCCTCCATCTGGAAAGGCTCCATATAGGGTTTTCTTCTTTCTCCCTCCACGATTTCCACCTTATCTTCCTCCCTATGAATTTCAGAATTCATGTTCTTCCCTTCTAACCTTTTTGCCACTGAAGCTACCGTTTGGTTGTGGATTTCAAACATTTTCTTCATCATGTCCCAGAGATTGGCTGCTTATCCTTCTATGGAGGAAATCCTATCCTCCACCGTTGTCTTGATTTGGTTCATCTCCCCTTCAAGTATTTCTTCCAGTGCATCCACTTTCTTGGATGTTATCTTTATCCGGATTTTTGTAGATTCAAAAAATCTGAATTTGGATAACAAAAACAGCAACTTTATCCTTCACAGGCCAAAATTCAGCCGCTGAAATATGTCAAAATCAGCCCACCAATGGTTCTAAGACTTGCTTTGATACCAATTTGATTGGAAATACTTGAGTTCGCAAGTAATCCTATCGGAATTACTTGAGTTTGCAAGCATCCCTAACGATAAATTGGTAAAAAACAGCGAGAAAGAACACAAGAACGCCAACAAAATCAACCCAAAACAGTAGATTTTATTAGGGAAATCAAAGCAAAGCAAACATAAATCAAAGATGCAATTGACCCTCAATTCGAGCGAGAGGAATATCATTCTCTCCCAATCTCTAGACGACGAGTCTAGAGCCCAAGACGCCAAGGAGAAACTCCAAGAGAACAACTCAAATCATGCATAAACCCTAACCTCTCATGCTTAAAGCTTAATTTACTTGAATTCAAATATTCTTTCCCTCCTAACCTAGCAGCCTCCCTTAATTAGCCTTGTGGGGCCCACAATTTGGGTGGCAAACCCCGCCTCTTGCAGACTAGGGCCGACCCATGTGGGCCTGGCTGGGTCGGTTCAAGAACCGACCCAATAGACAACGATGATGAAAAAGATGAGTGGGAATGACTATCATGGTATCTCATGATATGATAGATTAAGATCATGATGAAAGTGTGCAAGATATGCAAGATTGTCATGTTATGATTTAGTAGGCTCATGATATTGATGATAGAATATGCATGATCGATAATGATCATGATATGAATGATGTGATTTGCACTTTTGATGCTTTGAAGAATATGCCATGAGGACCATGATGAGAGGAGCAAGATCTACAATTCCTCTTAGCATAATAATATTTTTTGGAATGATCTTAAAATGAAGTATGAGAGTCATGTCTATAATACATGAGCTTATGAATGGTAACAAAAATTGGAAGAGTAAAAACAACTGAGTAAACGAACATGAGAACTTTTTGTAGCCTATAATCTTAGATTGGCTTGGTCATTAGAGAAAGAAGGGTAGCAGGAAGAATGCATCGTCTAGGGTTGCGAGCAAATTAAGTGAAGCTACAGCGAGATAGATGCTAGCAAAAGAGTAAATACAATGTGACAACTGCTTGCAATGGCAAGTGCTAGATTTCATTCCAATGACATTGCATGTGTGAGTGAGCAAATACCTATGATTTATTGAAGTCAAATTGGGTAGCATGGATCATGGTTTAAAGGCATTTGAGGCGAACGCCTCAATTTTTGCCTCACCATGAGCCTATAAAATGCCTCGAGGCTCGCCTCACCATGAGGCTTTATGGTTTAAGTGAGGCTTACACTTTTTTAATTTGAGACATATGCCTCGAGGCTTTATTCCTCGAGGCATTTGAGACCATGCCTCATATTAATACCTAATAATTAAAAAAAAACATTTATATAATGAGTAGAGTTTGCAAGTAGTGGGCATGCGATATGGATCATGATCCTTATGGTACATTTAAATTTTGAGTGATTGCTTATTTTAAATTTTTTTTTGATACTTTACATTAAGATTGAGATTTACTTTTGTTTTCTTATTATGTGATTTTGTGGTTTGTGAGGAAGAACTAAGTTAACCTTTTAGTGGTTTATGACTTAATTTTGAATTCTTTTAATTTTAAGTTTTTTTATTTTTTTATTTGAGGCTTATGCCTTGATCCATTTTTAATTTTGCCTTTTTAAACCTTGGTGTAGCATTAATGAGAGGAGTATGCGTAGTATTTGATTAATGGTAGAGGTCACATGCAGGCAAACACATATGGACTTATAATAGGCTCTGTGGATACAACAAAGAGCGGTGAGGACTATGGAGGGTGTATAGTGGCTCATGCAGGTGAGCGCATAGGGAAGGTCACATGTCTATGTGTAGGCAAGAGGTGTTGTGTGTGGTGTTTGACAGTTGCAATTGTTCGAGGAAAGGTGTGAACGGAGATGAAGGCGATGGATGATGGAGTAGCAGAGTTGGTGGTGTGTGAGTACATGTGTCTACATGAAGTGAGGATATGTGTGATTCATGTAGGTAGTGTGGGGTGTAGAGCGAGGAGAGAGCTTTCGACCTGGTGGTCACAGAGCAAGGTGAGCAGGGTGAGCAACTTGTGTCAATTCACAATGATGCTAGCACTTGTGGAGTTGGTGTCCAACATGGTCTCGAAGATCTCGTATGAGAATGGGATCAATGAGCAAGGTAGATAGTGATGTAGGCTTGTCTTTGATACTATTCAATACAGTGCACAATAGATGAAAGAGATGAGAGGAAAGACAACGAGAAAAAATCTAATACCAAAAGAGAGTATCGTAAAACTTTATTCCAAGAAAATATTGTGAAGTTTTATTCCAATTCATCATCATACAACCCCAAGGCACTTTGTATTGTGTAGGGTCTTCAATATTTACTAAAAGTACATCAAATCATTAATGCAAGAAATAATGTGCATTTATTACATAATCATAATATGTGCAAAAACTAAATGAACACAAGCTTAAAACTTAATATTGACAAATAATTTGATTACCATTATTGTCTGCATCTGATTGATTGCAGTAATTTCAGTAGTTAAATAGAGAAATAAACAATGCACACTGAGAGAGGAAATGAATCAGATGCATGGAAATTTATACAGTTGTCGAAGGTTAAAAAAAAGGAGAAAAATTATGTATTTTTTTTAATGCTGTGCTGCAATATAATGTTATTTTATCTTATTTATTCTGATTTTTAACATAAAAAAGTGATCATTTTTTGCTGGTCCTCTATTATCCATGCAGCTTGTTAACTTTTTATTTTAGGATTTTCATTTTGTTTCAATTTTATGCTGATGGTATTCATTATTTTTCGTTGCTTATTTTCAGTTTGTTCATTGTGTTGTCTGGGCAAAGGACTTGCTATTTGCAAAGTTGTTTGGCGATAGAAGTCAGGAGAATGATTTGAATGTTCAGTCTAGTGATAGTGTCGATGCATCAAAAAATACTGAAGATGTATTTGAGCGAAATCCAGATGAGGATCTTGAAAACTATGGTCAGAGAATATATGATCATGTTTTTGGATATAATATTGAACTCGCACTATCTAATGAGGAGACATGGAGACAGAGAGAGAAACCTAGGCCTATCTATATAAATGACGTTCTCCCAGAAAAGTCTTTTCAGAAGAATGGATACTTGGAGAACAGTATAGATGTGAACATGGCAATCTCTGCAATGCCAGCTCTTGGTCTTAAAAGTCCACAAGATATATGGAGTCTTGCAGAAAATACAAAAGTGTTTTTGGAGGCTTTAAGTCTATTTATTAAGAAACGGGTTAAGGTTTTGCCTTCTCTATTTAATTATGGAATAAAAATTTTCCTTTTCTTTAAGTTAATACTATTTGTTCGTTTCTATTGTTTACCTTTTTATATTTTATTTTATTTATAAATACCTTTCAGGATATTGGGAACCTCATGTTCGACAAAGATGACCAGTTAGCCGTAGAATTTGTGACTGCTGCGGCAAATATCAGGGCATCTTCTTTTGGAATTCCCATGCACAGCCTTTTTGAAACAAAAGGTATTGCAGGGAACATTGTTCATGCTGTTGCAACGACAAATGCCATTATTGCTGGTCTTATAGTTATTGAAGCAATTAAGGTTCTTCAGGGTGATTTTAACAACTATAGGTATGTGCTAAGCATTCTGAATGCTTTCTTCACTGCCCCTAGAAACAATCTTCCTCAAATTAAAAAAACTAGGCGCTATGTTATTTTTTTATTTAATACTTGTTTTATAGTTGCAGTGGATTTACTTTCATGATCATCAATCTCTAAAGTCTAATCCTATCCCAACTGTTTGGAGCCAGCTGTATAAGTCAGTAGCTGTAACTTTCTGCTAGAAACTTTATACATATAACAAGTTATTGACAAATATGGTAATTCTCGAGCTTATTCTGAACCATACCATTGCACATTAGGAATCTCTAATCCTTTAAAACTCGTCATTTTCATAATTTTCAATCTGTAGCTATAATTTCTTGTGCCTTATGCATTAAAATCTGTTCCTCCGAATTCACTTGACATTATCAACTGGTTATGACTTTCTATACTGTCTAGTTAACAATATGTATCCAGTGTGCCAAAAAGAGAAGGGGAACAGGAGATGTTGGTTGTGGACATTTGGTTGGAGAAATCTTTATTCTGCATGAATTTGTGATACTGTAAAAAGACAAAAAGGTGGAACAAGAAGTTCTTTCTTAAAGTGCCATGTTACCATCTTTAAGGTTGCATTACATGATTGTATTTAGATTTCATTAGTTAAACTAAACAGGGTGGTGGAATGAGGGAGGGGAGAGAGATGGATAATCTGATTGTTCCATAACCCATAACCATATTTTGAAAACTTTTGGTATTTTATGGTTTTCTTTCAACATTATTAGTTAATCTGTATCGTGGATGATGATTGATGGATAAAAGATATCATTTAAATAAAACTTGGTTAAATGATGCAGGACAGAGGTAACATTACATGCAATATGGAAGTATGAAAGATTACATTGTTAACTCATTAAATTTTTATGATTGAACTTTGCTAAAGCACACAGACACAACCTATATTGAATTACAAGTACGAAAAGAAGAACTCAATGTTTGAAATACGATTCTTGTTCTAGTTATGTTAACCTAATAAAATGCCTAACCTTAAGTAGAAATCATGATGGGCTTATGAAAGATCCAATATGTGAAAAACTTAACACAAACTGTGGCTAAGCAAGGATAATTGAAATTGATCTCTACGAACTATTGTTTGTTGCATTGATCTTTTTTCATTGGAAATACTTCACCAAGGGTTGTGAACTCATACACTTATAAAGTCCTCTTGGTGGTGGAAATCACACAATAGAGAGTAAAATATTGAAGGAGGCAATGTCATTCACTAGCATCAATCATCATCTTTTCATATAATAAGTACCTTGATATTTATAGACAAGAACATTAAGTGATCCACATCATGGAAAGGGAGGGAAAGGGGGCCATCTAAGCATAGGGAATGGGATAAATGAATGGCATCAAGGGTTTTAAAGAGCCATTCATGATTTCCAAGCGCTTCAAGGAGGTTCCAAAGTAACCACCTAACATTAATTCCAAAGCTTATTTGACTTTGAATTAAATGCAAGAGATGGAAAATATGGACCAGCCAAGCCAAATAAAATGGTAGGTAGCAAGTTAAATGGTGAGTGGTGGTCAATATGTATGATGACAGTTAATGGGTTGTTAAAAGCTGTCAAAATTGGTCCATGAGCTAGCTTAAGGCAAGGAAATGCTAGGCTAGCTCGATGCTCATATCAACACATATATGTGGCTATGTTTATCACATGACTACATCACGAAGCCGAAAACACAAATGGCCCAACAACACATGCCTAAAATGCAGCGTGACATAGTGGTCTGACAACACAAATGTCCAATAAAATAAATATACTTTAGAAATAAAAAGTACAACCATAATGTCTTAGATACAAAAGATCTAGACTCTGTATTGACATTGTTGAATGAGATGCATTGAATTGTTAAACATATAGTTATTATTAACAGCAAAAGATGGCCACTGGGTGTCTGCTTGTACAAAACCATGTAATTTAGAGGAGCTGAGTCTTTCTCAATTATTTCAATTTGATCCTTGAGGTACTACCACAACAACAACAACAACGTAGCCTTTGTCCCACTACGTGGGGTCGGCTACATGAATCCTTTTTCGCCATTGTGTCTTGTTAAAAGTCAAATTCTCATTTAAATCTAATAAAGAAAGATCATTTCTAATATTTTCTAACCAAGTATTTTTATGTCTACCTCTACATTTCTTAACATAAGTCAAATCTAATACCTCAACTTTTCTAACTGGGTCATCATAAGGCCTCCGTTTAATGTGACCAAACCATCTTTGGCGACTCTATCTAATCTTATCTTCCACTGGAGCTACCAATTGTTTTGTTTCACTCAAGTGTTGATTTATTTAGAATCCTCTCTTATGTGTATGAATATGATCAATAGATGTACTGACTTATGTCTTTTGATTTTCTTTTCTTATATTATAGTTTTTCCTATGTAATATGTTGCTATTAATCTCAGATACAAATAATCATATAATGGCTATATCCTTAGCATGCAATCTGCTTCATTGTTGCTTTTACTTTTTATTTAACTTTATTTCGCAAAACCATCTCATACAGCATAGAATCTTTCTTACATATTCCACCAGCATCATTTGGTCTTTTAATTCTTGTTCAGGATGACATATTGTCTAGAGTTTCCAAAGAGAAAGATGCTTTTGATGCCTATTGAGCCATTTGAAGCTAATAAATCATGTTATGTGTGTTCTGAGGTAGAGCCATCTTTCGTTGCATCAAACTATAGAAAGCTAATATCATGCTTCTCCTCATACTCTAATGTGTGATATGTTATCATGACTTTTTACATTTTTTGAATGAACCAGACACCTCTCATTCTGGAGATTAACACCAGAACATCAAAATTGCGAGACTTTGTTGAGAAGATTGTGAGAAACAAACTAGGCATGAATCTGCCCTTGATAATGCATGGAGCAAATCTTATTTTCGAGGATGGTGATGATATAGAGGAAGATGTTGCCTCTAACTATGCTCGTAACCTAGACAAGGTTTTTTTTTTTTTTTTCTATATGTATATTTTCTTTTCGTGTTGTCACATGGTGTGCATATTTAAATTCCTGAAGATTGTTTAATATTTATTACTGCAGGTCTTAGCTGAACTTCCTTCTCCAGTTACAAGTGGAACAGTTCTCACAGTTGAGGATCTTCAGCAAGAGTTGACGTGCAATATTATCATCAAACACAGGTTTTTTCCTTGGTGGCTTGTTTGCATCGTCTTCTGTTTCCATTCTAGTCATTTTACCTTTCTCCTTTTCTTCCTGTTAAATTACACAATCTTGATCTTTTCATGGTTTATTATTACCTTTTTTGTGTGTTGGGATTAAATTCTGCTCCAATTTGGAGCGCCTTTTACGAATTTTCCTTATAATTATAAATATTGGTGCTAGTATAACTGGCAGTGGATTTTGTCATCAAGTGGCATTGGAGAAAGGGTGAGGATTTTGTTTGATACGGATTCCAAAACACGGGATGATAGAAAAGAAAGGAAAGAAAAATACTTGGTGCCAAAATGATTATAAAGACAAAGTCTCTCAAATAAGATGATATAAATCTCAACTCAAAATATCCTAATCAATATAGAGGCAGAAATTCCTATAATGAACTCAGGAGTATTCTTGGAAATTTGATTCTGGCAAGGTTTTACTGCATCAATTTCCAAATTCCTGAAGGTTGCATTAGCTTGCGATTTTGGAAGAAAATTAGCATCTCTTAATAGTGTTCTTGCTTAATCCGTGGTTGGAATTGTCCAGCCCCCAACTGATGACCAACGTCTTTCTTGAATAAGAAATAGTGGGCTTTAAGAAGAACCGGCATTCTTGACTAGGTAATGATTTCCGCAATGTAGCAAAAAATGAGATGAATAACAAGGTAGATCACTGTTTTCAAGAAAAGAAATTAATTAAGAACAAAAATAGAAACAAGTGGATGATTTGGAGACTTTCTTGAATCACCAGCTGTTGAAATCTGCAGCCAGATGAACTTATGCATTAGAAAACGTCAGATTGCCACTGGGTTCCATGGCCAATTTGTCCTGCCCAATGATTCTACCAGCTGGAATTCCAACCCTAATTTGGTAAAAACAGGAAAACACCCTTTTCTGGTCACTAGAACATCACGCCAACTCAAGAAAACATGATTTCTTGGTACTTGGAGAATCCTGCCAGCCTTGATACGAAAGAAGAAACACAATCTGAGAACTTCTTCCTCCTAGCCTCCCACACCTTGTTGTTGCTTGGAACCCGCTGACAAGGAGACCAACTACCACTAGGTAGGGGTGCAAACGAGTCGAATCGAGCTCGAGTCAGGGGGTGTTCGAGTTGAGCTCAACTGTCAAATACCGAGCTTGAGCTCGAACTCTAGTCGAGCTCAAAACTCGAGCTCGACTCATTCCACATAAAATAAGTTCGAGCCGCTCGTCGAGCCTCCGGTGCGGTCCGGTTCACCTTCCTACACGTGTGGCCCTCGAAAAATTAATTCATGGTTTTTTACAACTACAGTGGGAGGAAGATAGAGATAGAGAGAGGAGAGAGAGAATGAGAGAGATTTAAGAATCCAGCGGGATTTTGGAATCAGGCGGGATTTGAGAATCAAGCGAGATTTTGAAATTACAACAGGGATTATTATTAATTTTTATAAAATATTTAAATTTAATAATTTCGAGCCGGATTGCGAGCTCGCGAGTCGAGCCTCGTCAAGCTCGAACTTGAGCTCATTTAATAAACGAGCTTGAGTTTTAGCTCGAGCTCTTGGTTCGATGAGCTCGGCTCGCGAGCTCATAAACGAGTTGTGTTTGAGCTGTCTCGGCTCACTGACACCCCTACCACTAGGAAGGGCTAGGGGATTTTGACAATCAATCTTAGTAAAATTTTGGACTCCATTATGATTGCCTCACCACCATGCCTTACATAACCTAGGGAATCCATCCTAAATCTCAGGATAATCGGAAAATAACTCTAAAACAACTTGCTCCTCTCAAAAGAATGAGGTATTTATAGACAACCAAAGGGCGCAAAGAGGCAACAAATTACTATACTATGCCTTTTGAAGGAAAGAAGAAAATTAGAAATAAAATAAAATTAAAAAAAGAAACCTAACTAATTAAAAATGTTTAAAGGCTAAATAAATAAATCCTATTATGCTCCTTAAGAAGGGGAAGACTCATCCTCGTTGTCTAGATCCTGATCAAAACCATAGTAGGGTGAGAGTTAATATACATTGAAGGTTGCAGAAATGTTGATATCCTCGGGTAGCTCAATCTTATAAGTATTCTCCCCTATAGGATTGACCATTTGGAAATGTTCGTCAGCTTTTGGTTTAAATTTAGAAAAAGGACAAGGAAGAAAACCAAACCCTATCTCCCTCTTTAAAGGAAGCTGAAATATGAGATTTGTTGGAATGATTTATGTATTAGTAGCTGTTGAGTTGAGTAATATAGTGCTTAAGGGTATGACTTTGCTTGGTGATGTTAATAAATTATAGATTGATTTTAAAGATCTTTGTCTTAATGAGCTTCTTAATGAATTACCATCATTTAAGGATATACAACATGATATTAACTTAGTTTATCATTGTCTAATTGTCTTCATTAGAGCATGAATCCATCCTAACATGCTGAACTTACGAGACAGGTTGACGAGTTGCTTAAGAAATGATCTGTTAGAGAAAGTATAAGTCTTGGCTTTGTACCTGGTTTGCTTACTCATACAAGAAATATAGGAGTTGATATATGTTTGTGGACGATAGAGCTATTAACAAAATTGACATTAAATATAGGTTTTTTAATATATTGTTTAGATGTTATATTTGTTATGATGAATGATGTTGTAATGTTTCTTAAATGGATTTTAAAAGTGGCCTTTATCAGGTTAGAATGAGAGAAGGTGATGAGTGGGAAATCATTTTTGAGGCCATAAATGTATCTTATAAATGATCGGTGGTGCCTTTTGGATTAACAATGTACTTAGTACTTTCATAAAAGTAATGAACCATATTTGTTGACTTTTTTATTAGAAAATTTATTATATGGTATAAGATAATCATTTGATGCATCCTAGTAGAGTGTATGAGGTTTTATAAGAGGACAATTATATTTGAATTTAAATAAATATTTTCTTTGCGACTCCATTATCTTAGAATTTATTGTGTTTGGAGATGGGTTATCTATTAATTCTAATAAGATTAAAGTGATTAATGAACGACCAAAACATACAAATATATAAGTTATTTAGAGCTTTTTTTAGTTTGGCTATTTTTTTATAGATAATTCATTGAAGAGTTTAGTGCTCATTACTTCTTTTATAACTAATTGTTTGAAGAAAGTAGAATTATGATGGATTAGCTCTGCTAATTGTGCTTTCATTGAGATAAAAGAAATGTTTAAAAATGCACCTATGTCTAAATTACCTGAGTGAGTTTAATAAAATGTTTGAAATTTTTTGTTATGTGTTGGGTGTGATTTTGGAGTTTTAAGTTAGGAAGGACATCATTATATATATATATATATGATAAAAATTATATATATATATATATATATATATATATGCGCGCGCGCAAAATTGAGTGTTTCCAAAGAAAAATATTCAAACTTTGATACGGATATCAATATTATTGTGGAGGTTTTTTTAAAAGGCATTATCTGTTAAAAGTTTTTTCTTTACCCCAATCATCAAGCTTTGCTATATGTTAGTTCATAAAAGAACCTCAGATATAGACATATGAAGTTGGTTAGAATTTTTTTTAAGAATATTCTTTGTCGTTGAATATTGCGTTGGAACTGAGCATAAATTTGTTGATTCTTTTAAGTAGAGTTGTGCATTCAATCCAGGTTAAGATAGTTGATTTTGATCGTATAAAAGAACAATATGGTAAATTTAAGGATTTTCGAGTGATTTATCAATACTTAAATAATAATTCATCTTTGCTTAACAAAGATTACATGCTTAAAGATTTTTTTTTTTTTTTGAATTTAAGGGTACTTGTTTTTGTATTCTTGATTCATCTTTAAAGAAATTTGATTTAAAACTACAGTGCTAGTGACATTGTTGGATATTATGGTAGAGATATGATCATTGCAATGATTTAGGATATATATTTTGACCAAGTCTTAAAAAGGATATAGCACATTATTTCACAATTCAAGACTCAGTTTGCTAAGGATAGGAAACATAACACGAGGATCTAACACCTTCAACAATTTCATATAAACCATTAGAGGATATTAGTATGAAATTTTATTTGTTTTATCGTGAGATTGATAAAACAATAATATTTTTTATTTTAAATTGTGATGGATCATTTTTAAGAAGTGGCTCATTTCGTAAACGTCATAAAACTAATTTTGTATCTAGCATTACAACAACAACAACAACAACAAGCCTTTATCCCACTACATGGGGTCGGCTACATGAATCCTTTTTCTCAATTGTGTCCTATTAAAAGTCAAATTCTCGTTTAAATCTAATAAAGAAAGGTCATTCCTAATATTTTCTAACCAAGTCTTTTTAGGTCTACCCCTACCTTTCTTAACATAAGTCAAATCTAATACAATAAATATCATATATAGATCCTCCTTATTTTCTCTATATTTCTTCATCAAACCTCTTAATAAATGTATGGCTTCCATAGTCGACCTACCCAGCATGAATCCAAATTGATTTTGAGAAACATTAGTATCACGCCGCAACCTATGCTCCATAACTCGCTACCAAAGTTTTAAAGTATGACACATTAACTTAATTTTGTATCTAGCATTGCTAAACTTTATTTTAATTAAGTGGTTAAATTAAATTTGTGGATTAAAATAATTACTTTTTCACTGATACGTTAAATTCACGAGTTATTTAGAAAACTTTTCAAAAGGAAATAAGAGAGCACACTCAAAAGTGATGGATAAATTGAAATGTTAAATATGAAATTTGGAGATTTATTACATTGCTTGATAAAAGACCATCCTATTTGATAGGATTGGTATTATTTATGATTGAGTTTGCATATAATATATTTGTTAATAAGTTTAATGTTATTAGTTTATTTGTGATTGTCACAGGGTTTCAATCTTGAAATTTTATAAATCCCGTCAACATTCCTATTAAATCTAGGCTTATTAAATTTGTACAATCATTCAAACAACGTATCCATGACTTAAAAGGGAAACTTTGGTTCTCAGTTTGCACAAGAAGGATTATGAGGCCAATAGAGGGAGCTTGTAGAGGAAGTTGTCACGGGAGCTTGCTTGAAAAGGATCCATGAGACTAGCAGAGTGAGACTAACAGTGGCAGCTCGTTAGAGAAGGATCTATAAGGTCGTGGCTGTAGCTCGCTGGAGAAGGGTAAACGAGACCAGCATTTTTTAAAGAAAAGAAGTTGTGACATGAATCAAGAGCTGGACATTTAATCTAAAGTGAGAAATAGGATTTAGGTTTAACCCAAAACCATAATAGAGCTAGATTGTGAGCCAACTAGTTGAGGCTTCACTATGCTCAAACTCGAGCTTGCTTAATAATGAGCGGCAATTTAAAATTGAGCTCGTGACTCAACAATTTCAAATTGTGAGTCATTGGTGAGTCAAGTTTGAGCCAGATTTGCTCACTTATACCCCAAGTTCCATGCCTTGACAATTGAGGTCAACTAAATGCAACCCTTCAACTGCATATTTAAAGTCATTTATCCAGCCGCATGGCACTCAGAACAAGATGATTTCAGCTGAGTTATAATAGATGAATTTGAATTGATTTCTTGTAAATGTAATTTATCACAACTTTCTATACACACCTTGGTTTGCTCAGTTGAAGGAATGGTGGTCAAACCTACACGCAGGGGTTTGAAGCAGTGTAGGTTAAAGAACATCCTGATGTGTTGGGTGCGGTGTATCTAAACTCTTTCCAGCCCCATTATATGCTAATATGACTCTAATCCTTGGTTAACAGTTCTCCCACACCAGTTCCAGTATTCATAGCAGGTTTACTACCATTTGAATTCTATATGAATTAGATTTTCTATCTTGATTCATAGAGATCATGATCGAAAGTACTGAGATACATATTAGTATGTGTCTTGACTTGATATGGAATGGATGAGGTTTCCATATTGGTTTGGTTTTAAGATTTAAAATGCACTTAAACAGCGATTCACTTGAAGTTTATATCCTTCAAATTATTTATTCGATTTGAATTTTAGGAGATAACTTTTTGGACAATGAATTCTTCTTACAAAGCTTGTTCATGTGTAGGATAGGATAAACGATGCGATTGCAAATACCGAGTAGGCTATAATCTTGATAACCTACAGATACTTAAAGTGAACTTGAAAATTTTGAAATAAACTAAGAAAACACTAGTGCTTACCAACTAATTAATGGCTTTTACTTGTGGCTATTTCTACTTCCATATCCTTGCAGGACCACTTACAACTACATTGTATTTCTTTTTGATGCCACTTAAACCTTTAACATTGCATCAACACTAGTAAATTTTACCAATGATATCATATTCAGGGAAGAGTTCAATGAGGAAAAAGAACCTGATGGGATGGTTCTGTCTGGATGGACAGAACGTGCTAATGATAAGCAGTCAAGCAATGGTGAAAGCACATCAAGTGTACTGACCAATGGGCCCTATGTGGCTTCAGGAAAACCACTTGTCAGTGGTACAAAGAGAAAACTATCTGAAATGGAAGAAGCTTCTGACAACTCTTGCAACCCTTCTTCAAAATCTAACTCCGCTGATCGAGAAAATCCTCAGCAGGTCGACGACAATGATGTTTTGGATGATCTTGTCATACTGGAGGTTCCACCTGAAGTTCCCAAGAAAAAAAAGGTCCAATTATCAGTTTGAAATATATCCATTCTTATTATGCTTATTGGACAGAGGATGTCTATGACTGCTTTACGGGGAGCTATATATATATATATATCATCACTAACACATTTTGTTTGATACAACCCTTTTGATATTTTTATTTCTCTAACAAGGTCAAGTGCTTTGTCACATTGAGGAAAGCATTCACATATCTCATGTCGGCTCTTCAGGTGAAGCGTTGGAGTCATTTTAGTGTATATCTTTTGTAGCTCTTATTTCCAGAACGCCCGTTAACTAACTTTTTTTTTTCCTTTTTTTTGTAATGTTCTGTTTACCGGTCAAATCTCATGTAATGACTAGCTGTTTTTTTTTTTTTTTTAATGAATGCATTTTAGAATAACTCATGGTTTATGATAATACTGTTCTTCTTATGACATTTTCTAACAATGTTTTACCTTATGGCTCAAGAACCTTATGCATCCAATGTAGTTTTTGATATATTTATAATTTAATAGATTAATCAAGTCCTTGTATTAGTTAATTCTTAATTATTAATATAATAGATATGTATTTTTTAATTTGGTGAATACAAATTTATTCATGTGCAACATTGGGATCTTATTGATAAGGCTCATAAGGCATACATATTGAAAAGTTAAAGATAGAAAAATAGACTTAGACTTCGTTTAGGAAGACTTTCTTACTGCTTCTTAAAGCAGCTTTTCAGTACAAAAATCATAAGACATATATATTAAGAAGTTAAAAAGAGAAAAAGAGACGGGCTTCGTTTGGGATGACTTTCTTACTGCTTCTTAAAACAGCTTTCTAGTACAAAAATAAAAAATTTTGTATTAAAAAGTTGCTTTAAGATGCAGTAACAAAGCCGTCCCAAATAAAGCCTTGGAGCGAAAAAGTTTAGAAATTTAATAGATTGCTAAAATTACAAGAATAAAGACTTTTTATCACGGGCCTGTCTCCAACTCCTTATTTGTAGGTTCAAGTTAGAGTTTAGCATTATAGGATAAGCTATATGTAAGCTAAAGCAAAAGGCATGATAAATCTTTTCATATTTAGCCTAAACTATAAAAATACTTCGAAGAAGTCGTTAATGGACTGCGTGAAGTCGTTGACTTGATTTGTTCTGGTCGTCCATTAGTTTAATGGAATCTGACAAGTAACTTTTGGGCTAAGATGAGTAGTTAGGAGCTAGGATGAATGACTTCCCTATGGCCAAGTATGTTCTTAAGATGAGCTTGTAATAACCGGTGAGTTCATCGTGATTCTGGCAAGTTCATTGCAACTTCGACAAGTTCACTATCTTTACCACTGTTTTGCGTATATGACTTGAATTGAACTGATTTGGACTGGATTCTTGAGATATATATTCAGTCCCTCGATTTCCTTGTATCTTTGAAAAATGACTTGCAAAACATTATGATGTGAAACATAATTGCATGGATGAATTGCTTCAAAGAATTTGCACACTTAATATTCGTAGAACGAATAATTATATCTTGATGATGAATTTAAACGATGCAATAAAACCTTAAGAGCAGAAAACGAGCTTAGGTTGAATCACACGCGTAAGAGTTAAGATCATATAACAATCAAGTCAATCTAACATTGCGTACATGAATGATTTTTCACAAATATCCCTAGACTAACAATGAGATTAATCACTATGAGTGTCAACTCATTCAACTCTCTAATTCATTAGGCTTTAGCGGAGAAAAGGTTTTATTGGAGGTGGCCGGTGGCCTTGGGGCCATGTGTGCCAACGGGTGGGTGGGGGAAACGGTAGAGGAGAAGAAAAGATATGGGTTAGAAAACCAAGAGCTCCACCAAGGGGCTGTTGGGTATTGCTTGGAGCCTCTCCTAGGCTTTCCTCACTTGAGAACTCACCAAGAGAACTCTAGAACTTACAAAGAGATCCAAAAACAAAATTTTCATATCAATATTCATCATCCCTTTCCAAGAGGAAGGGGAGGGCTTAAATAACCAAATACATGAAGGAAAATAAAAAGACACAATTGCCCCTAGGGCAAACATAAACAAAGCCCTCAAGTGAGGATAGAAATGAAAAAGTACAAATAACAAATACATCAAAATAAATAGACACGATCGTAGCCGTTGATCTTTTATGTCCTCATCACATTAGGTGACATCTTTTTATTGAGAATTAAACTAGATAGAATTTCGTACTTTGATAAGCTGTCACTTCTGTAGTAACGTCAATTTATCACTTTAATGCTATTGATTTGAATGGTGTACAAATCAACATCGATGATGGCCTATAAATATGAGCAGAGTTTAGTTATTCGAGAGGTGGTATGCTTCATCGTCTTCTTCCCTAGAAGTCCTCTGCATTTCCTTTTCCAAGCTCAAATGGTTGTATTCCCATTAAAAAAGTTGATTACATATCCAACCAAGAAGTGCTTTATTCTTCATAAACTTGTACGAGGCAAATCAAAGCGATCAATCGAGAAAGAGCAAAGATGCAAAAGTCTAGCATGCTATCAATGAAGAAGGCAATATTAGTTGAAGGTGAAATGAGTAAAATAATGGAGAACCAATGTAGTTAGAACGGTCCAATAACAATGAGGGAGTCACCTTAGCTACTGGGGCGAATGTGTTAGACCGCTCCATTGGACTGGTCCATACGGGACCAGCTCATGCGTAATAGGTGGTACTTCTCTGCCGCCTTATACGTGTCGATCAAACCGCCAAGGCAACAAAGTTGTTTAGGAAGAATTTTTTAGGAAGTTAGGAGGGAAATTTCAAAGTAGGGGCTGTTGAAGGAATCCCTTTTGAATTTTATGTATTAAGTAATATATTTTGCTAGGGTTAAGACATCTTAAATTTGGCTGAAATTTGAGATCTCTCTTAGGTTTTGGGCTCTAGTGGTGTCTAGATATTTGAGAGTGCCGGATCTTCCTCTCCAATTGAAGATCCACTTGTATCTTGTCTTTTCTTTCATAAAATTTTCAATAAAAAAAGTGTTGTGTTTTATTTCTGATTTTCTTATAGTTGATTTTCTGAAATTGCTGAAATCAGATTTTAGCCAAGGTTTTTCCTAAATTTTTACAAACACTTTCTATCAAATTGGTATCAGAGCGGTCTTCGGGTTGTTTTTGGAGAATTCATGTAGCAGATTATTTCTACTTTGGATCGAGGTTTTTGTTGTTTTTAGGGGGGAAATTCAGATTTTTGAGCTAATAAGGAGTCAAGGATATATGGAGGGAAGAAAGGTAGAAGTATTGGAAGGGGAGATCAGACAAATTAAATCTAAAATTTCAGATCTCCAAACTCAAGTTTCAGATTTAAAGAAAGATATTTTAGTCATCCATGATATGATCGATTCAAATCATGGTTTAAAATTGCGCAATAAGAGGCGCGCCTCAGCGCAATTTCGCCCCTTTAAGCCTTAAAGCCTACACAATGAGTTCAGGATTTGAGGCGTACGCCTCAAGTTTACTGAGGCGCGCCTCGCCTCAAGGTTTAGAGGCGTCCGCCTCTAAAAATTAAAAAAAAAAGCTAACATAATATATATTTGTTCGGTTCGAAATCCCCAACCCACGCGAGGTCTTCCGTCATTTTCCAAAAATAGGTTTTCTCCCTTCTTCGAGCGACCTTTTTCCCTCTTTGTTCGGCGTCAGCTTCCTTCATCGTGAGTTGCTCTTCGCCTATTGCTTGGAGTTATCTTCTAACTCGAGTTGGGCTAGAGTCTCATTCGACCAACTGCTAAAAGCTCTTCTTCTTCGTGGTTCTGCAAGAAGGGCCTCCATATTCTATTGAGTAAGATTCCACAATCAGTCTGTCTACCATTGTCATTGTGTTTTTGCTTCACTGCGCTTTTGGTGCGCTTTTAATGCAATTTCACTGCGCTTTCACTCTTACAATAAAAATCTAGGTTTAAAATTGCGTAACTGCGCCTCGAGGCGTTTTTCGTCCGTGAGGCGAGGCGTAAGCCTCGAGGCGGTCTGAGGCGTAAGCCTCACGAACACAGAATTGCGTAAATGAAAAATTAAGGATTTTAGCAGGAAAATAATAGCAATATTGGAAAATAAGAAAGTAGATGCAATAAAATTATGTCCTAAAGTACAAAATCACAAAATATCAGTTTAACAAAACTCCCAAAATACAAAAAACATATAAAATGAAATCATATCCCATCACAAAATATCAGTCTTCAAGTGAATCTTCTTCTCCAATTGTATCTATGAATGCCATGTCATCTTCATCTTCAATATGACTCACTTTTCTCTTCCCTGTTCATTAAGATAAAAGATCATTATCAGTATTCATGTTCATTGCTCACTTGACATAAATGTAATGTAATAGCATATAAGAAGTCGTGGAATACCTTTACTTGATTGTTGTGCTGCAGAATTAGTAGATGTGTGTGGTGTGGTACTAGTGGATGTACCCGTTTGATCTGCTTCGCCCCTCAATACATCCACATTTAGATCTTCTACCTGTAAGTCTGATAATGACAAATCTGCCTCATCATCTATGAACCACTCATTATCAGACGACAGATCATCACACACCAACGGGTCCTCATCATCTTTCAACCCCTTATTCCTCAACCTCCTATCTCTTAACCTCTTGTTGTGCATTATGTATACGAGGGAGTTCATTCTGAGTGTAGATAGTCGATTTCGTCTCTTTGTTTGCACTTGACTATATGTACTCCAATTTCGCTCACACCCAGAAGAAGAACAAGTGAGGCCCAACACTCTCACAGCAAAACTCTGTAGCTCAGGGGTGGAATCACCAAATTGGATCCACCATTCAACTGTTTTCAAGAAGAAAATATAATCAAAATTCAGAACTGAATAAAGTGTATTGCATTTACCAAATTAATTATACCTGGAGACCGTTTAGAAATGGTAGTTTTTGCTGCATTCAAACCAAAAAAACCCTCTTTATTCCGGAACAGAACAAGCTGTAAATCTGCAAGCTCCCTATCTGCCTGCTCCGGTATTAATCTTTCCATACAGTGATATAGACCAAGCTTAACTTCCGGATTTGAAGATTTTTTCTCTGAATATTGAAATTGAGGGTTAAGATAATATGCAGCTGCATGTAGATGTCGGTGTAACTGCACCTCCCACCGAGCATCAACGATATCCCAAATCTCCCTATAACTTGCCTCCTCTCCTCCCAAGTTATGTGCAATCAACTCCTTGGCCTCATCCATAGCATTATAAATAAAACCCATAGCTAGTTTCTTCTCTGCATCCACTAAGCGTAGAACTTGCACTAAGGGTCTCGTGCTCAAAATGGCATAGGTCACAGTAGCCCAAAATTTATCATTCAGAATTATCTTTCTTATCTCCTTTCCCTCACTCTTCTTCCCCCAAGCAGAGTTTAGCCATTCAGTTGATGTAAAC